ATGATTTTTTGAACGCAATTCTTGAATATCAATGTTGTGATCTATGATAATTGAGGTAATTAATATGATGCTATGGATCTCATACAATTTTTCCTTTTTGATTTGATAGTATGGAGAGTGATACAAGGATAATTCAAGAGAGGATAAGCAACAAGAAGTTGAACAAACTTAGACTAGGAATCACCTTTTATTGTGATGAATGTGTGGGTATGGTAAAATTAGGTTAAGCTCCGTTAAGCTTTTTATGTTTACTTTGAATGATATAATGTGTTTACTTTGGGAATGGAGGTACTTTTATTTTTCTACTTTGAAGAGCCTTTTGGACTTTTAGTTACTTCGAATTTTTCTATATATTTCTGTTATTTTTTAAAATATTATTACACTTATACGAATAGGCCTTAAGTTGAGGTCTTAATTGTAGTACAAATGAAAAATTGAAACGATAATTTTGATTTTTTTCTGGCAATGAATATGTAAGCTCCCCTATGAGTACATCCCTTTGTAGTTTGGGCTAAGCAAATACCAAATTGAACTACCACTAAAATTTCTGAGCCATTTCTGAAAAATGTGTCATCTTATGACTGTTGAGTATGATTTCAATAATGTCTTTGTTTTGCAACAATAGAGTTCTATAATAAAGCTTATAACAATTTTAGATTTGATGCTAGCTCTCTTGCAAGTGCTCGTCTATTAGGGAGCATCGTGAATTGAGCATGAGAGATTCTAATGATGTATTTATCGTAGTACTTATACTTCTGAAACTTTTACGTATTTAGGGAGCATTGTTAATTGAGCATGAGAGAAATTCTAATGATGTATTTATTGTAGTACTTGTACTTTTGAGCCTTTTATCTATTTATAAAAATAGTTTAGCAATATTGTATCCTGTTCTTTTATTTGTATAGCAACAATATTTGTTCATTATAATCAAACTACGATAGAGAAAAGTTATAGTTTTTTCAAAATCATACCCGTTGGGCCCGTGCTATGGCAATTCTTATCTAATATTATTATATATAGCAATAAAGAAGAAAGAAAATAAAGTAGAATAATCCATGCTAATATAATAACGAGAGGACAACACAAAGTATAACATAGGCCGGCAAAAACGTCCTCCTCCCAACATTTCCATTGTCCTCTTCTCTCTTTTATATTTATTTATTTCAACAAATTAAAATAATTGTATTTTTTTATTTAATAATATAAATTAATAAAAATCAAATTTAAAATTTCATAATATTATTTAATAAGATCAACTTTTTTGATTTTTCACGTGGTGTTCGATATCTACATTGGAGTCTAACTATTTCGAATTCGCGCCGCATAGAGTCCCATTCAGGGGGGAAACACTCCTAATTGAAGATTTTTCATACTAAAGGATCAAATTCGATACATTACGCATCACGTAGAGTTTCATTCAGGGAAGCACTCCATATAAAGAATTTTTTCATACTCATGAATTGAACTCGAGACCTTTGATTAGGGAACAAGCAGTTCATCCACTACACCACATTTGTTGATGTTAAAAAGATTAATTTTATAAAATACATATCTAATAAAATATTAAGAGATTTTAAATAAATAGAGATCAAATAATACGAAAAAGAGATGATAGTATATATTATCAAGTAAATATATAATAAATATATGCGACAAGTTGTATTAGAAATATTAAAGTTCAGAACTGGTATATCGATAGCCGTGTTGGTCATAAGAATATAAACTGTATCACGTATCAGGTAAAACTGTATTTAAAATTTAAATTTAAATTTTTGAAATTGTATTTAAATATGTATTATATTTGATTTTTTTTTAGAAAGAAATTATGAGTAAAAGTTTTCAATCCAAAAACTATTTGAAGATAAATATTCAAAATATAGCTCAAATGCTAATTCAATGCCTATCAACAATGACGGGGTTAGAAACTCAAATAAGAAGATTAAAAAAAATCTTATGCAAGGAGGATTAATTCAAACAAATAACTTAAGTAATATTTACGACATTAATATATAAAGTAATTAAACCTACTTTCTTACTTCAGTTTGATCATAGATTTTAAAGTTAAAATTTATTAAGTTATGATCTTATATTTTGAAGTTGTATTTGGATATGCGTTATATTTGCAAAAAAAATAATTAAAATTTAGTGAATGACGAGTCCCCTGAAAAACAGTTGAAGAATAAATATGATCAAATTTTATGATCAAACAAATATTTAAAAATAAAATTTTAAAATCTAAATCAAAATTTACAATCAAACACTTACATTTTTGAAGTTGTGATTTGTTATTTTTAAAATTGTATTTGAACAAGCACTAGATTTGGCAGAAACTCAAAATTTTGTGAATGAAAAGTCCTAAAAATTAGTTGAAGAATAAATATGATCAATTTTTTTGGTCAAATAATTATTTAAAGAGAAATTTTAAAAATCTGATTCAAAATCTACAGTTAAACACTGAAATTTTTGAAGTTGTGGTTTTTGAATTTTGAATATGTATTGAACTATATTTAGAAAAAGAGTAAAATTTTGGGAATGAAAAGTCCTCTAAAACTAGTTGAAGATCAAATCTAGTTAAATTTTGTGGTCAAACAAATATTTAAATTTAAATCTGATTAAATTTAATGGTCAAATAAATATTTAAAAATAAATCTGATCAAATTTAATGGTCAAACAAATATTTAAAGTTAAATTTTGAAAGTGTGATTTTTGCATTTTGAAATTGTATTTGGACATACTCTATCTTTAGAAAAAACTTGAAAATTTTGTGAATGAAAACTCCAATTTTTTTTAAATGTATCTGGACATGCATTTATTTAAAAAAAAAATTAAATTTTGTGAATGTAAATCCCCAAAAAGTAATTGAAAATCAAATCAAATCAAATTTTATGGTCAAATATATATTTAAGGATAAAATTTAAAATTTTAATTCAAAATCTATTATTAAAAAATTATTTATTTTCCTTATTTATATAATATAATTTTTTAACAAATAAAATTCTTTTGCACCTCTTGCCCCGTCCTACCTACCAAACATGGTATAATAATTTAAATTTAAAATGTTCTATGGCCATATCTTATTACTATATATTAGAAGAGTCTAGGATTTACTACCATTGTTCCAATTATATCATTACAAATGTCCAATACTTACTATATAAAAATATATAAGTGGGGCCCCCACCTCCCTTTCCACTTTAAATAATATTTTTCAACCTTATCATGGTAAAAGTTGAATTTATTATCCTTTTCATTTAATTTTATATGATATTATTTTTTTCTATAAATCCATTATATATGTTTTAATAATTTAAATTTCAAAAACATTATAATTTAACTTTAAAGATTTTATTTTATCAAAATCTTGTACATTGAAATATATAGTTATGAATTTAAAATATTTTTAAAATCATATAAAAATTTCAATAACTTCTCAAATTCCATAATATAACACTTAAATACTACATATTATATATTAATTACTATACTATAAATGACTTAAATACTCCATATTATCTATTACAATAATTAACAATTATTTGACACTTTAAATTCTATCAATGCCATATAAATTAGGATAAAAAACCTAACATATAATATTTAAATATATTTACAAATAATATAATCTTATCTATTACAATAATTAACAATTATTTGACACTTTAAATTCTATCAATGCCATATAAATTAGGATAAAAAACCTAACATATAATATTTAAATATATTTACAAATAATATAATCTTATCTATTACAATAATTAACAATTATTTGACACTTTAAATTCTATCAATGCCATATAAATTAGGATAAAAAACCTAACATATAATATTTAAATATATTTACAAATAATATAAGTAATACTATACATTATAATAATTAACAGCTTAATTATTTAAATATTTTTTTAATAATATATGTTATTTGCCATGTCCCAATTTATGTGGCATTAATTGATAGATTTGTTGGAGTCGAGAGATTTATTTTGTTAATTATTGTAATTTATAGTTTCTTTTTCGTCAATTTCAAACAATATATGTTTATCATATAATCCATTTTATGTGGTACCAAGAGAATTTAGAGTTAATTAAATTTTTTATATAAGTTTTAAATAACTAAGCTGTTAATTATTGTAATGTATAGTATTACTTATATTATTTTTAAATATATTTAAATATTATATGTTAGGTTTTTTATCCTAATTTATATGGCATTGATAGAATTTAAAGTGTCAAATAATTGTTAATTATTGTAATAGATAATATGGAGTATTTAAGTCATTTATAGTATAGTAATTAATATATAATATGTAGTATTTAAGTGTTATATTATGGAATTTGAGAAGTTATTGAAATTTTTATATGATTTTAAAAATATTTTAAATTGTTAGCTATTGTGATTTGTAGTACTTTTTTTAACATAATTTTGAAAATAATATTTATTACTCTATTTGTTCTAATTTATGTGGCACATGCAGAATTTCAAATATTAACCATTTTTTATATGTCTCTTTAATATATTAAGTTGTTAATTATTGTATTTTATAGTACATTTTGAACCTAATTTTTTAATAATATATGTTATTTGCCATGTCCCAATTTATGTGGCATTAATTGATAGATTTGTTGGAGTCGAGAGATTTATTTTGTTAATTATTGTAATTTATAGTTTCTTTTTCGTCAATTTCAAACAATATATGTTTATCATATAATTTTCAAAATTATGTTAAAAAAAAGTACTACAAATCACAATAGCTAACAATTTAAAATATTTTTAAAATCATATAAAAATTTCAATAACTTCTCAAATTCCATAATATGACATAAATTAAAATAAAAAAATATATATATATTGGGCCCCGTGCTGACACGGGGTCCTATATCTAGTATTATTAATAAAAAGGTGGACTCCAAATATATATTTTAATTTTAGTACTTTCCATATAAAAATTCTTCTACCCAAAAATTACTTTGGAATGCTAGAACTCCTCCTCCCCCTCGTCCTCATATTCATTCACTTATAAATAGACAACACAAGTAGTGAAATAAAGGACCATAGATAGAGACTCATGAGAGGGATATGTCTTTGAATTATCTCACAATTATTCTCTCTTTTCTCTTCTCAACCTTTTCCTCCTCTTCTTCTTCTTTCAACCTTTGAAAAAATTTCAAAAGAAAAAAAAAGTATTCCATTTTATTTTATATATATATACTTTTCTTTCATCGTTAGAATTATGGAGTTTTGGTTGATGATGATGGTGACTATTATTTGTGTGATATTTGGGTTCATGAAATGGTTACTTTTAAGTGTAAATGTTTGGTACTATGAAAAAGTGAAGTTGAGTGGTGACAAGAAGTTGAGGTTGTCATTGCCACCCGGTGATTTAGGGTGGCCTTTCATTGGTACTATGTGGTCCTTCCTCAGAGCTTTCAAATCCAACAATCCTGATTCATTCATCTCTTCCTTTGTTTCCAGGTCATCTATCTCTCTCCTCTCTCCTCTGTTCATACAAGTTCGATATAATTCAGAATTATCTATGATTATAAACTAATATATATATATATATAAAATGTACATATGTCTAATTTTTTATTGTGCCATTGAGTGGTGCAGACAAGCACACAAGTCACTACTACAAGCACCTGGCAAACTTTTTTTTCTTGACCAAAGAAATTTTTTTAAGTCGGAGGCTGATCTAGAAATTAAATTTTAGGGTTTTAATTTTTAAAGTTTTTAGCATTTAATTCATTGTATTTCTAATTTATATACTTGATATTTATGATAAAAAAAAATAATTAAAAATCTTACACATAAATTTATACGTCACATTAAAAGTATTATTAGATCTAAATAAAAGCAGGGTCTATATGTTGCATACGCTCATGAAAAGAACACATAAATAATTATAACTCTAAACACTTCGATCAACTAGTTGGTCATTGGATTTCTTGATAGTATAATTGTGTAAACTGATATGTCACATGATTCGTGAAAAGTGAGAATTAGTTTGGAGGAAAAAGGTTGGCCTTTTTTGATAAGCAAAAGGTTTTGGAAATTAGCTTGGCGGTTTTGCAAGTAGTGTATTTGGTGTAATTAGAAATGGTAAAAGAAGCATTTGTCTTCATTTAGTGAGTTAACATTTAGTCAAAGAAGAAACAAACATAAGTAGAAAAAGAGGAAAATTAAAACTATTTCATGCCTAGTCAGCTTTTTTATTAATTCGAGGCTCCCAATATTTGTCATTTTACCTGACACCTTTTTTGTCATTACAAGAAGAAAACGACATTATATTAATATTCCCTTTTTTTCACGCCAAAGTTGTGTGAAAGTTTTACCTTACACTTCATTTTTTCCGTCTTAATTTGTTTGTTTAATTTTTCCATTAGAGGTAAAAAAGTTAAAATTAAAAAGTTATAAAATATGAAATTTGAATATATATAGTCTATAATATTTGGCTTACTTTCAAATTCGTTGTTGTCCTCGCCCTCTTAGGCACATGATTCTAAAGATTCAATCTCCAAGCGGTATATATATATTTTCCTATTTACTTGTATTTGTATTCTAAAAAAGCATATTTTAAGTATATTATGTCATCATCCATGTAATTTGAATATGCATGTGATTATATATGCCTCTTTAAATTTTACCTTCAAAATCTATGATCAGACAGGAGCTAATAAACTTGGGGATACAATATTGTTTACTTAATATTTCATTTTTGCCACCCCATTAGACAAAGAGGGGGTAGGGGTGAATATATATTTGGATCTCAAGGAGATAAAAATGATTCATGTCTCCTCTTGTACATTTTCCATGTTTTGTAACAGTACTAGATAGCTGAAATTGTATAAACAATATCTATCCAATTTGACTATATTCGAACGTACGATTTCTCAATAAAGTTTTTACTGTTTGAAAGACACTAAAGTCTTATCTTTGAAACAACAATCATACAAGGTATTAAGTCTAGTCGTAAGTTACTTGCCACTAAAGTGGTAGACAATTTTACAAGATAAGAAAGTGCATTTTAGATAGATAGATAGGGAATGAACACATACCCCCACTAGCTAGTTAGATAGTATTCTAAGGAGAGAGGGAGAAAAAAAAATATAATTCTAGTTGATTATCGTTTTATCTGTAATGACTATTGCTTAGAATGATTTATTAGTTATCTATAGTATTTTTTTTGTGACTATCTTCGTTTGAGTTATTTATTTTTCTATATTGCTTTGCATTGTTTTTTTCTTGAGTTGAAGGTCTATAGAAAATAGTTTTTCTACCTCTAAGCTAATGGTAAGGTCTGCGTATATTCTACCCTCCCCAAACCCCACTTTTATTTTACATTACATAGGATATGTTGTTATTGTCCGGTGTGAATTCCAATCCGACTTTACATGGAGGAGCTACATGATTCAAAGGGGATTCTGATTCCTTTTCGTCAGAAAATTATATTGCACATACATACAATTCCCTTTTTATTATAGTGCCATTCTAGTAATTAAACTTGCTTGATGTCACATGTTCGAATCTCAAATGCGACATTTTAACATGTTGACAAAATTCTTGCTCTGCCGCTGACTTTTTTTAAAATTATAATTGTAGATTCGGACGAACAGGAATATACAAGGCATTCATGTTTGGAAGTCCATGTGTGATTATTACAACACCAGAAGCTTGCAGGAAGGTTTTAAATGATGATGAAGCCTTCAAGCCTGGCTGGCCTACTTCTACTATGGAACTCATTGGTAAAAAATCATTTATTGGTATTTCATATGAAGAACACAAATGGTTAAGGAAACTAACTGCAGCACCTGTGAATGGTCACGAGGCGTTGTCGATGTACATTCAGTATATCGAAGAACGAGTGATATCAGCATTGGATAAATGGTCATCCATGGGAGAAATTGAGTTCTTAACACACCTGAGAAAGCTAACTTTTCAGATTATTATGTACATTTTCCTTAGTACTGAAAGTGAACAAGTCATGGATGCTTTAGAAAAGGAATACACAATTTTGAATTATGGTGTTAGAGCTATGGCTGTCAACTTGCCAGGATTTGCTTATCATAAAGCACTCAAGGTAATTGAGAAATTGTCCCTTGTCTTTTGTCACTTAAATGATAAATGTTTGCGTATGTATACAATTTACTAGAAAGTTAAAAGGTGTGGATAAATTTTCAGGCGCGTAAAAAGCTTGTGGCAATCTTTCAATCGATCGTGGATGATAGGAGGGCGAGGAGGGAAAAAAGAGGGCCAGAAGACAAGAAAGACATGATGGATATTCTACTTGAAGTTCAAGATGAGAATGGAAGGAAATTGAATGATGAAGAGATTATTGATGTGTTGGTAATGTATCTTAATGCTGGTCATGAATCTTCAGGTCATATAACTATGTGGGTTACGTATTTTCTGCAGAAACATCCTGAGTTCTTCAAAAAAGCTAAGGTAACAAAAAGTTCACATTTTTATAAACATTTTTCAATGTTCTGTTTTATTGAGATTTCAATCTTTCGATTCGAAAAACAGGCAGAGCAAGATGCTATTGTGAAAAATAGGCCATCTGACCAAAAGGGCTTGACACTCAAAGAAATCAGGAATATGGACTACCTCTCAAAGGTGAATTTTTTATGGTATATCAAATTCTGGTTTCTCTTCTCTAGTCAATGTAATAAAACCATTGTGTTGTTCCTTTATAGGTGATCGATGAAACACTTCGTTTGATTACCTTCTCCTTTGTGGTCTTCCGTGAGGCAAAAGAAGATGTTGCTATTCATGGTTAGTTATAATAATATATCATTAACTGATACGAGATTACGTTAACACAACTCAACTATATCTTCTTCTTTTTCCAGGCTATACCATACCCAAAGGATGGAAAGTTTTGGTGTGGTTTAGGAGTGTTCATTTGGATCCTGAAATATATAAGGATCCACTGGAGTTTAACCCTTCTAGATGGGATGTAAGTTTTAGAAATAGTACATTTTTTTACTTAACTATCATAAACTTGATGTGGTTTAGTGTAAACACTGGGTGCAGATAAATCATCTGATAATTTTTGTAATTTGTGTCGTGTTGTGAAATTTTTAGGAACTTACACCAAAGGTAGGAACATTCCTTCCTTTTGGAGGAGGAGGCAGACTTTGCCCCGGAAATGACCTTGCTAAGCTTGAAATCTCTATTTTTCTCCATTATTTTCTGTTGGATTATGAGTAAGTTACATATCTTTTTGTTTGATTGCTGATTCACTTAACAGAGGTCAGGTCCGCGTACACTCTATGTGTTGTTAATTTACTTATTTGTTTTGCAGGCTTGAAAGGAAAAATCCGTCTTGCCCAGTGATGTATTTGCCTCATTGTAGGCCTAAGGACAACTGCTTGGGAAGAGTGAAAAGAGTATCATCAACTACTTGTGCTGCTTAGAACAAAAAATAAGAAGAAGGCCACATCTCTCTGCATCTATGTGATTTCTTTGTTGCTGGATATGGAAAAATTGCAAGAGCAAGGCAATTTGCTTGGGAATAGTTAGGAACAGAAAATCATTATTTCTTGCTCAATAGAATTATGTGTACATTTTAACAAGAAGATCATTATGGTCTTCTATTTTGTTAAGAATGAATAAATGCAGAAAAAGAGATAGTTGGTTATATTTGCTCGTGTTGAATCTCCTTCTTTAACTTTTTTCGTGTGTTTACTTCTTTTATAATTTGTATACCTTTGATATCATGATGTCTAGGTTAAGATAAATACTGTATTGATAAACATCAATTCAGCAAATTAATTAGTTTTTTTCAGAGGCCAAATAAATTGAATTTGGGGTTTTCTTAAAATTGGCCTGCCCAAACCCATCCAAAGTTTGGTTTGATGGGTTGGGTATGAATTTTGTTTACTGGTGGGCTTATTTAAGCAGTGCCCAAGTTGACCCATCAGGCTTTTGTTTAAGGGAAAATTTTCAAAACAGCAATATTTTAGTACTATATGATGAAACGTAGGTTTCAAACTCTAAAAGTTACGGGTCAATGGCGAGTTGGATTAGGATCCGCCCAGGGGTGGACCTAGGTGGAGCCTAGGGGTTCACCGGAACCCCCTCGTTAAAAAATTACACTATATATATAACGTCAAATTCTGATTTTATGTGTATATATATTAAAATGAACCCCCCGAAAACAAAGGATAGACTTGGCTCAGTGGATAAGTGGTTCATGAAATCTCCCTATGTCATTGGTTCAAATCCCATTGGTTCCCTCTTTTTAATGCTTTGAAAAATGGAACTTTTGGGAAGACCTTCTTCTTCTTTTTCATTATTTTTTCCTTTTATTCCATTTCTTCTTTTTAATTTGTTTTTTTTTAAAATTATTAGACACATTCTTTTTATTTTTATTTTTTATTCTTTTTATATCTATTATTCATTTTGTTCAACGTAACTCTTTTCTCATATACGTTTGAATAACTTTTTAAAAAAAATGATGAATTATATTTAACTTGATACTAAGATAGAAATATAATTTATTTATTTTTAAAAAAAAATGTAAATAGATGTAATTGAATGAAGAAACTTAAATATCGTCAACATCCTTTTAAAAATATTAATTTAATAGAATTCATGAAATTTCTTTTATGCTTTTAATTCTATTTTAGAGAGATGGAAACTAAACTTTTTTGATTTATTCGTTATTTGTTTTTTTTACAAATTATGACTAACCTAGTAAATTGAACTATATGAACTAAAAAAATTGACGATGCTATTTATTTATCTTCTGAATATGCATTAGTAACTCTATTTTTACACACTTTTAGAGAATCTGGACGATTTCCATAGTAATATTTGATTGAATGGATACTAATTTAAAATTTTTAAAAAAAGTGAAATATAAAGTAAAACATTACAAAATAAAAGTATAAAAAACACAAGAAATTTTAAGAATGCTCGATGGAGCATGATAAAAGTAAAAAAAATAATGTTTAATACGGTGTGATAAAGTGAGTTAAGTTTAGCATGATAACATAAATATCTTTCTTCCCCGTCTCGCTCCCTTTTTCGTCATTTAATTTTCACGCGTTTTAGGAATTAACTTATGTAATACAGTCGATCCACTAAAATTCTTATCAATGCATATTTGTCCTCGATATCTTTGATTAGTTTAGTCTTTACTTTTATGAACCAATGAAATATCTATGGTTGTTGTACAAAGAGCATGCCGAGGGGCTACTACGCTCACCGCGCACTTGCATTACCACCTGAACTTCTTCTTTATACTTCGAACCCCCTGAACAAAAATCTTGGGTCCGCCACTGAATCCGCTATTTAGCTGCTCAAGAGCGAGTTATTAACATGTTCATTTATTAATTTGACTAATTTTAATCGGTTCAAATTCAGCTTAACTTATCCCTTTGAATTGTGATAATAGACCAATACTAGTTATACAAAATGGAAAATAACCTAATAGAGGAGTTGAATTAAGCTTGAGAGCTAGCTAACTGCTCAATCAAATAATCAAGGCCGACTCAACAACATTGAGAGCCTAAAGCGAAACTGAAGAGATGGGCCTTAATATTTTATTTTTTTCATCATATATACTTTTATTTAAAATCTATTTTTCTAAATATTTTAGATGTGAAGTCATTAGATACTGTTTTATAATCAATTTGTTTTAATAATTCTTTTTCAAATGGTAATATGGCTAATATATTCAATCTCTCTTGAGCCATTATTGATCTTAAAGAAAATTTAATCAATTTTAATTTCGAAAAAACTTCTTTCAGCCGAGGCAACGGTTACAAGAACTGTTAACAGTATTATAAGTAATATGTGTATTTGAAAAAGAATCAAGTCTTTTTATTTGATTGAGTATCTTCATTAGATCATTATAATCTTCTACTTGTATTATTTCTCTTAACACTTTTAATTCAAAAAATAAATCTAAACCATCTATTACATGTTAAAGAAAGTTCAAGGTTAAGACAATATTTTTAAAATTCTCATCATCTAGTGATCTCAATATTTTACCACTAAATAAGAAATCAAAAATATTTCCATATGCTTCAATTGATTCAAATCTATGTTGAAGTGAAAAAATAGTTTGATCTACCCTACATATATAAAACAATAAACTCTAAAAGATTCTTCAAAGGACTTAGTGATTTCGCTATCTATATTTTCATCAAATTATTTCTTACGAAATTCAGGTTTATTTTTATTTCATATGCAATTTTCTTAGCAGAAATCATAACACTCATAGTACATATAATTATTTTTTTTTTTTTAAAAACATATAAGTAATTGTTTTTTCAAAAATGGGGGCCTCAAAATATATGAGTCCTCAAGCGATGACTTTAGTGGCCTAGGGGTTAAGACGCCCTGCACGTGTTTATTGTTGACAGTAATTTTTATGATAGGTTGTTAATATATATAACTAAGTATTATTATATTTGTTATTGCACTGCCTATGCACGTTTCAGCTATGTTTTGTACATCTTTGTACACAAAAGGTAAATTAGATGTTGATGCTTTGTAGTTCACAAAATATCTGCAATCACAAAGAAGAGTGTTTTAGATTGTGTAGGTATAATTTAGTAAGAATGGAGTTAGTGTGGCAGATTGCGACGTACCTTGTTGAAACTGTATTTTCATTGGAGGCAGTGCATAAACAAAAGGATAGCAAACTGGAATTTACTTTGATGCAAAAACTTCCTGCAAAAGCATGTGTGAGAAAAGTTGTTTTAGTAATATGGTAGTTTAGACATGTATTTTTTTTTTTTGGCATTATATTCTACCAAATGATTGCAAGGAAGAGGAGCCTTATGACGGTTTTGTGTTTACTGCTTGTGTCCAGCATTTTGCGCTTTGTTGCTTCGGCTGTGACCATCAGTGCTGATTGGGTGGGGTTGTGTTTTTCTTCATAATTGAGAAGTCAAATTTGCAGCTGATGTTCCGTGGTTTCTGTAGAACAGTTTTTTCATTTGAATTCTGTAAGTCGCTGCTCCTAGGTGGTTGCACAGTTGTTCATGAAGTTGTTGGTGGTTCTGCAAGGAAGAAGTGAGTAATTGATTATGATTGTTTTATCTGTTTTAAGTTTAATATAAGAAATACCTTGGCCTGACAATTTCTTGTATTGAGAGGTGCAACATTTTTTCAGCAGAGACGGAAGCTGTAGCGGAACCAGTGTGATCAGTAACTGTGATGTCAAATTGCACTCAGTGTAGAAGGGAAGAGTTTTCGTTAGTTATTTGTAAAATAGCTAAAAGAGTAAGTATAGATTATACCTTGGGATGAGCATAGTAGATCGATCACAATGTATGCAATAGAATGGCTTTGAGGAAATACTTCTTGTGAATGGAATGTTGCAGTCTGAGCATGCCATGATGCAGAAATGTTGGTCCTCATTCGTTAATGTGAGTTGACCATCTATGTAGAATATCTGACCACCCTGTCAAGTTTGAGGGTGGTATTATTTTATTTGTTGTTGTTATGAGAAGTTGTTGTATGATTGTATATTGTTATCAAAAGTTGTTGTATACTTACTGGTGGCTGCATTTGTATATCTGATATGGATGTTGATTCTTCTTCAAATGGAACAAACAGAATAGAGCCAGTTGTGGATGTGCTTTTCATTGTGTATTCAATCAGCAGTGGCTGCAAGGTGGAATGCAGGAAGAGAGTTCATGTAATCCGAATGGAAAAACTGTTTTAGAAAAGGGGGCTATTGTGTGTATTACCATTCATGTAACGGTGTGGCATGTGGAAATGTGAGGTCCATGAGTATTGTCGTATTGTATCTATTTCACAAACCTGTGTAGATAAGAAGAAGTAATTTTGGGTACTTATTTATATGTTAGGGCTATATATAGATAATGATTGTTTTCTTTACCTGTTGTAGATTTTGTCACCCTTCTAGCTAAAATGACGGGATAGTCATTGAGCCATTCTATGAGGGTATTTCCATAATAGTCTTCCCAAAGTGTAAACTTTCTGGGTTTTTTCCTGTTTAATTGATAAAGCAAAAGGGGCAGAACATTATTGAATTATAATAGTTGCAGCAAGTATATAGCAGCAAAATTTTGTTCTTTATTTTGCAGCACTTTGATGCAAATAAAATAAAAAGTAAAAGGTGCAGAATGTTGCAAAAAATTACAGCAACAGTTGATTCTTTTTTTGTGTTAACAATATGCTGAAATGGAGTGTTAGGATTTAGTCAAAAAGAACATTACATATCAAAACACTGGAAGATGGAAAAACAACCTTGGTCAACACATCATAAGTTCAGTTTACTAAAAAATGTGAAATCTTTTTTCTGGGGCTAAGATTCACTTACAAACATGTAATTACAGCAATATATGAACAAAATGTAAAGGTCAAACATAGTATTAGTTATTTGTAATTCTAATTTCTAAGTTTAGAAGTACAAAAACAGGAAAATAAGAAGAGCAAAAATCAGAAGTCAGAGTAAATGTTGAAGGAAGACAATCAATTAATAAGCTAATTTGTGCAAACAATCTATACTATAAGAACAAAAATTTGAAGAATGTCTAACATCCTGATCTGTCTATAATAGGATGTAGCAGTATTTTTAATAAGGAACGTGGTCTATCGATGAACATTGAAGGAAAAGTATTATAAATATGATGCTGACACATATTTTTTTGGATAAATTTGCAATCAAATAAACAACTGAAACAGACAACTTTACAGATTGTAATTATGTCAGTCTTGTTATAAATAAACTCGAAAGTATGGACTTACGAAATGTAGATTCGAAATTCTTTTGATTCAGCAGTGTTACTCAAATAGAGACTTGTCAATTCAAGTGAACAGAACCATTGCTACAACAAAACGCCGGAGGTTCATATTCAAACTGTTTTGCACCGCAAAATTAGCAATTAGGAACAGCTTTAAGATTTGTGCTTGTGTATTTAACAAGAAGTCAACCTGGGTTGAATTTTCACCTGCAAATTAAATCTTAAGGTGAGGATGTTGTGATATGTAACAAGGGAATATGTAATTGTCCTTGTTACTGGTAAAAGGCGAGAATTGAACCTGGAAGTATTATAGTAGCTGAATTTTTAGCAGATTCTGAACAGTGTGTACCAGATGTTGAACCTATTTATGTTAAAAGTTATAGATTAGATTAAAGAAAAGTTTTTTAAGTCTCTGAGAATTAGAATTGGAAAGGAGTAAATTTTTCAGCTTTACTAAATGAGGTTATTCTAACCTGTTTGACCCAGTAGTAGGGACCGCCTTACAACGGAAGAAGCTTGCTCTGAGTAATAAATTTGTATGGATATATAATAGCTGAGTCTTTTCATGCTTCTGTGAAACACAGAATGGCAGGAGAAGAAAATTTATAACTGTAGCACATAACAATAGTAACATATTTTTAGTATAAACAATAACTATGAACTTAATGCATGTACGTAGCTTTTATGGCAATTCAAAAATAGTGTGAAGTGTTTAGTAAAAGTAAATAGCGAACAATTATGAAGCAAGAAAAGTGCACAAGGTAAGAATCAAACTTACGGAAGTAAACAAACTTGAAAGTAGTAGTCACAACGACACGGGTGAAGGAAGAATTAAAAAAGTTAGCAATTTAGTATCGATAATTATAAAATATTTTAAGAATCAAAAGCTGATGAATATTTAGTACTACGATAATCACATTTTTTTCGTGTATGGAATCACTGTCACTTCGATAAGGTACTATACTATATTATTGAAAGACGGATTCAGAATACTAATGTTTACCCCATGACCAAAATTGGATGATCAGTTCTCAAGTTGGTATCCTAAATTTACATTAGCACTACCACTCCACACGTTGGATATAATACCCATGGGTATTTTCTGTGATAAAAAAAAGAATCCAACTTACACACACAAACAGAGTAGAAGTTCGTGAATATCAATCAACACTGCACACAGAAACAGGAAATTCAACAACCCCACCTCTGTTCTCACATCAACACCATAATGGTGCGGAAGAACGAAAAGTGAAAGCTAATACCTTTTTTTTCCTTTGTGAGAACTGGAAAGCAAAAGACTTTCTTTTTGGCTTTTGCTTATATGAGAACTGAAGAGTGTTTCTATCCACCATGGATAGATTATACTGTTGAAGGTGGAAAGAGGCACGTACAACACATCAGTGGTGGAAAGAAGGGAAGGAAAGTTGTGACCTAAAATGACCAAAACACCCCTCATAAATAAAACTAATTACGAAAAATAGACATGTTGATACCGACACTTCTACTATGGTAGAAATGAAATTTTTCCTAAAATTAAATTAATTAACACACACAGCTATATTTATAGGCTGTAATATAATTTTGTTAAAAAGATAAAAGAATGAAAATGGTTTGTAATATTTGAAATTATGATTAAGGAGGTATGCATGCGTAACAAGTCATAATCTCGATATGGGTCAATTGATCTCCCTTATGATCCATTGATTGGCCTAAATTGTTCATATGTAAGAAATTTTTGAAGAAAAAATAAGGGAGTTTTACAAGTCTGGATAACAATGTTAAGAATTTCAAGGTGACTAAAATTAGACATTGAACGAATTGAATTATGACTCGTATTTAAGTTCATGTTATTATAATCTAAGTAATTTTTGGACAAATCATTATTTAACTCAGATTATTTAAATCCCCCCATATAAAACTTCTAACGATAAGCATTGAGCTCGAGCTATTGGTCAAATGGATGATTATTTGCAGGGCCGTCTTAATCCCTAGGCCACTAAAGTCATCGCTTGAGGACTCATATATTTTGAGGCCCCCATTTTTGAAAAAACAATTACTTATATATGTTTTTTTTTTTGTAAAAATAAATTATATGTACTATGAGTGTTATGATTTCTGCTAAGAAAATTGTATATGAGATGAAAATAAACTTGAATTTCGTAAGAAATAATTTGATGAAAATATAGATAGCGAAATCACTAAGTCCTTTGAAGAATCTTTTAGAGTTTATTGTTTTATATATGTAGGGTAGATCAAACTATTTTTTCACTTCAACATAGATTTGAACCAATTGAAGCATATGGAAATATTTTTGATTTCTTATTTAGTGGTAAAATATTGAGATCACTAGATGATGAGAATTTTAAAAATATTGTCTTAACCTTGAACTTTCTTTAACATGTTATAGATGGTTTAGATTTATTTTTTGAATTAAAAGTGTTAAGAGAAATAATACAAGTAGAAGATTATAATGATCTAATGAAGATACTCAATCAAATAAAAAGACTTGATTCTTTTCCAAATACACATATTACTTATAATACTGTTAACAGTTCTTGTAACCGTTGCCTCGGCTGAAAGAAGTTTTTTCGAAATTAAAATTGATTAAATTTTCTTTAAGATCAACAATGTCTCAAGAGAGATTGAATATATTAGCTATATTACCATTTGAAAAAGATTTATTAAAACAAATTGATTATAAAATATAATCTAATGACTCGCATCTAAAATATCTAGAAAAATAGATTTTAAATAAAAGTATATATGATGAAAAAAATAAAATATTAAGGCCCATCTCTTCAGTTTCGCTTTAGGCTCTCAATGTTGTTGAGTCGGCCTTGATTATTTGATTGAGCAGTTAGCTAGCTCTCAAGCTTAATTCAACTCCTCTATTAGGTTATTTTCCATTTTGTATAACTAGTATTGGTCTATTATCACAATTCAAAGGGATAAGTTAAGCTGAATTTGAACCGATTAAAATTAGTCAAATTAATAAATGAACATGTTAATAACTCGCTCTTGAGCAGCTAAATAGCGGATTCAGTGGCGGACCCAAGATTTTTGTTCAGGGGGTTCGAAGTATAAAGAAGAAGTTCAGGTGGTAATGCAAGTGCGCGGTGAGCGTAGTAGCCCCTCGGCATGCTCTTTGTACAACAACCATAGATATTTCATTGGTTCATAAAAGTAAAGACTAAACTAATCAAAGATATCGAGGACAAATATGCATTGATAAGAATTTTAGTGGATCGACTGTATTACATAAGTTAATTCCTAAAACGCGTGAAAATTAAATGACGAAAAAGGGAGCGAGACGGGGAAGAAAGATATTTATGTTATCATGCTAAACTTAACTCACTTTATCACACCGTATTAAACATTATTTTTTTTACTTTTATCATGCAATTGAAGCATATGGAAATATTTTTGATTTCTTATTTAGTGGTAAAATATTGAGATCACTAGATGATGAGAATTTTAAAAATATTGTCTTAACCTTGAACTTTCTTTAACATGTTATAGATGGTTTAGATTTATTTTTTGAATTAAAAGTGTTAAGAGAAATAATACAAGTAGAAGATTATAATGATCTAATGAAGATACTCAATCAAATAAAAAGACTTGATTCTTTTCCAAATACACATATTACTTATAATACTGTTAACAGTTCTTGTAACCGTTGCCTCGGCTGAAAGAAGTTTTTTCGAAATTAAAATTGATTAAATTTTCTTTAAGATCAACAATGTCTCAAGAGAGATTGAATATATTAGCCATATTACCATTTGAAAAAGAATTATTAAAACAAATTGATTATAAAACAGTATCTAATGACTTCACATCTAAAATATTTAGAAAAATAGATTTTAAATAAAAGTATATATGATGAAAAAAATAAAATATTAAGGCCCATCTCTTCAGTTTCGCTTTAGGCTCCCAATGTTGTTGAGTCGGCCCTGAACACGTGTTGGGCCCCTGCGTGCGCACCCCATCTAGTACATAATAGAAACTTCCAAGTTACCACTAACTATAAGATAGAAACTTAGTTATGCCAATAAAAATGTCTCATAAATTTAAATATCGAATCTAATCAAAATGTTATACTTGATCTAACAAAAAAGTGCCCATTGTTTTAGGACCGTCAAATTAAATTAATGACTAACAAAAATAAGATTATCTAAATTATAGAGTAATTGGTAAATACTTTCTTATTCTTAGTCATACAAATAAGATTTGAACCTTTTATTTTTAATAAGAAAACCACTCCACTTCCAAATAAGAATCTTTCGAAGCATAAATTAATTGGGATCCGAAAATAAATATCTAATATATTAAACCAAAAATAGTAAAAGACTGCTAAAGATAAAATTAATTGAATAGCTAAATGTGTTGGTTAATTTGGTTGGTTAAAAAATTAACCTAACACCACAACATTTAGCTAGTGTATGGCCCCAAGTTCACAAATATTCTTGGCAAATTATATATTTGGGTGAAATTTCACCATGGATTTGGCTCAAATTTTCTCAAAAATATTTGACCATTTCAAAAAATATGATTTATACCCATAAGTTTTAAAAATTATTTAAAATACTTATAAATTTATATTGTAATTTTATAATGAATATGTTACGTTAAAAAATAACCTTATAATATAATTGATAACAATCAACAATAACAAAATAACAATATAGGCAAAACGATACATTAATCACATACTCAAACTTGTCATTGATTCAGTTATAATTATAACTCATTAAACACAATTGTCCTTTTTTTTCCCTCAATTTTATCACTCAAATTAGAACTCAAACTTTTTCGAAGGAGATAGTAACAAATATTAGTTGGAATTAGTATATAATGGGTATTTTTTACTAAAATATAAAAGTTTGGTGTAAATTTTAACTTTTTTAAAATTTTCAAATATTAGAACTTGATCCAAATACTAATTTTTTTTAATATTTAAAAATTTGAGATACTTGACAAATATATTTTTCAAGTTACATGATCAAACACCACTTCTCAAATTTTAACAGATCCTTAAAACAATATGTAGGGAAATTAATTTTTATTGAATTACATATCTTTGTTCAAAAAATCAAGAAGGTGACGACAATAATAATAAAAAGAAGAAAGAAGGTGTTCCACGTGACTTATGTTAGCTGAAAAGTATTGTCGTCCTTCATAACCTTCAAAATATAATTGAATGATTATCTTGTTTTCTAGCGTAGGGTACAACGCCATTCACCCCTGTGGGCACAAAATTATACCAAAAAATAAGTCTTTCCTTCTTAATTTATGTGTCTTGTTTAAAGTCATTTTCTTTTGTCTTTTTTTTTTTTTATGATAAGAGAAATTCGCAGCTGCTATTGTTTGAATGTGCACATGGTAAAAGTCTTGCTCGATTTAGAAGGCAAATTCCTTGCTTTTGCTGGCAAGGGGTTTCAAACTTTAAACCTCAAATATGAAAGTCTCAATCCCAAACCACCAGGCCACCCCGAATGATTCTTTAGAAAAAATCATTTTCCACCAGTGTTCGATATCCATATCAGAATTCGACTAAATTCATATTCGTGCCAAGTAGTTCACACGTACGGTTAAAATGTTCCCTCACAAAGCCAACTCTATATCCAGAGCCCAGAGTAATGTGAAATCTAGACCTCTTATGAATGCATATTTACCACTCTATCACAATTCTTATTGGTGACATGAAATCATTAAATTTTTGAATTAAATTTATATACTTAAAAAACTACTTTAAATTGTAATAATTGATAATTTTAACACATAAAAAATGTCGAAAATAAAAGAGACAAGTGTAAAAAAAACATCTAAACTATTTTTATTTTTTTGAGTTTCGTATCTAAATTATTGAGAGTGAGTTTCACATAAAAAATTATCACTAATTACTTTAAAAAAACATATAAATTCAAAATGTGTCACATGTTAATTTGAGAAACATATAAATTAAATATAAAGCTCAAAATTTAAAATATGTCACATAAATTAATACGGGAGGGGAGGGATAGTAATAATATATTTTGTCTTTGTCCTCTTAGCTCAGATAAGCATAATTTCTTTCACCTACCTCCTCCTCCTCTTCTTCTTCTTCTTCTTCTTCTTCTCTGGTAAAAAAGATCCAATTTTGAACCAAGAAAGCCATGGATCTGGCACCAGAACAGCAACAAAACTTGAGTTTACTCTCACTTTTCAAAGAATCACTTTCCATCCCAAAGAGATCTCCACAAACTTTTTACAGAATCACTCTCAGCTTAATCTTGCCACTCTCTTTCGCAATCTTAGCTCATTCCTTCTTCACCCATCCCATTCTTTCTCAACTCCATGAAAACCCAAGTGCTTCTCATGCTTCTCAATGGACCAAACTCCTTTTCTACCAATTCTGTTACTTAATTTTCCTCTTGGCCTTCTCCCTCCTCTCAACCTCTGCTGTTGTCTTCACTGTCGCTTCTCTTTACACTTCAAAACAAGTATCTTTCTCCTCAATAATCACTGCTCTGCCTAGCATCTTAAGACGCCTCTTCATTACTTTCATATGGGTTTTCCTCTCCATGCTTGTTTACAACGCTGTCTTGTCCTTTTTCATTGTACTCATGTTAATTGCCTTTGAGAGCAAAAGCAAAAACAGTATTGCTCTGTTTTTAGTCTCTGTTTTTCTCCTCTCTGTTTTCTTCCTTGTTGTTCATGTCTACTTAAGTGCTTTATGGCATCTTGCTAGTGTGATTACTGTTCTTGAACCAATTCAAGGCCTTGCTGCTTTTAAGAAAAGCTATGAGCTGTTAAAAGGGAAAATTAGAATGGCTTCTGTGTTGGTTTTGGGGTATTTGGTGATTTTTGGTGTAATTAGTAGTGCTTTTGGTTCAATTGTGGTGGATGGTGGTGCTAATAAGGATCATGAAGGATACAGTGTTTTTGTTAGGATTGTTGTTGGAGGGATCTTGATTGGTGTTCTTGTGGTTGTGATTTTGGTGGGGCTTTTGGTGCAAAGTTTGTTTTATTATGTGTGTAAGAGTTATCATAATGAGAGGATTGATAAGAGTGCTTTGTATAATCATCTTGGTGGGTATTTGGGTGAGTATTATGAACCTCTTAAAGGGAACATGCAAATTGATGATAGCTTCGAGGTAGAGATGAAAGGTGGAGAGACTGCTTGAAGCTTTTTTTGATGAGTTTTGGTGGTGATTGTGTTGAGATAAAAGTAAAATTAATAAATCTTAGCACTTCATTTTCCCTTTTTTATGTTTAGTTATATGTGTTTTTGTAATGAAATGCAATGCAATCGAATCGATGATTACTTTTCGTGTATATAACTTAAATGAGATTTTGTATGGTTTATTGTCCTTTCATTCTTGAGTTTGTTCACTCCTTCGTGCTTAACAGGATCAGGTGAGGTCTTTGGATGTGTTTCATGTTCTTCAAAAATATTGACTTGTATTTGTTGAATTTCTTCAAAAATAATGTATTTTTGAAGAATCGAATCGAATGAGGCATGTTAATATTTTCGAAGAATTCGAGTAAATATAGATTTTAAATGTGTTACTATACTCTTAATTTGCTTTGAATGTATTTCTTACTTTGTTGCATATGAATCAGAATTAACAAGAATTGGTAATGTGACACGTCTATAAAGTCCATAATGCATGTTCTCTCAATTGTGACACATCTGGTAGACTGCTGATCTAATTTTGTGACATCTAATTGTGAATACTACACAAGTTTTGGATTGTATTTTACTAATTTCCAATTTATTTCTAATTGCTGGCAAATATAAGGTTTGGCTTTTTAAACACACAGATCCAAATGCAAAGACAAAATAACAAATGCTATTGTGGGTGACAATATATATTTCTGATTCTTTGGTTCATGCCCATAACTTTCGTATATAAATAGGGTTGAAAATTTACTTAATATGTATAAAAAATTATCAAAACCCCTGTAAACTATATTTTTATAAAATAGACTTAAAATTCTGGTTCCGCTTTTATATATATCGGTAACCATACATATATACTGATACTGTATCGAGAAACCAGCGATTGCTAAAACAGTTAAACTTATTGTTACTGACTTACTGTGATGTGTTTTTGGTAATGTTATGTATTCCTTTTTTAGTCAAAAGTTAAACTTCTAATAGTTAATTTCTACCTATTTTATGTCTACAACTATATCGTAGGCAGATCTAGAACAAATTCTCTAGGTTCAATTAATTAATTAAACTCATTGCTTTTGAGTTTAACTAAATGTAGATATGTGCAAAATAAACTAAGATATGAGTAGTACGTACCTCCTTAAAGACTAAATCAATACTTTTAGCGTAATTTTCAATTCTCTTATAATACTGTCTGTAGTTATTTATTGATGCATGCTATCACGTTGTTAAAGTCGATTTCTAGGACCCCTTCATAATAAAAGGAACATTAAATAACTGCTACCAATTGTTATTTTATGCGTACTATAGCACTGGTCCTCACTCCTCCAAACTTTTGTAATAAAAATAATTTTTAGCGGTAATAAAATATGTACATTAACAAAGAGCGTTAACATCTTTATCAACATTAGTTAATTGTCATTATATTTAATATTACTATAGGCTTTAATGACATTTACAAAAGAGTACTAAAATGTAATTGTCACTAGTATAATTACGTCTAAAAACATAGTTAACAATAACTAAATTATTGTCGTTAATGGTCATTTTTAATGTAGCGATATCCTTTTCCTTTCCCAACTAGCTGTCTATTTTATTTTATTTTTGATAATTATGATGTTCGAATCAGTTTGCATACACTTTAGCTAATTTTACAGAATACTTATCACCTCGCATCTATAACAAGTATTAGATAATTTTGTCCACTCATATAATTTGTATGCTAAAGTAACCAAACATACAGATATTTCTCTAATTTCGTCTTTCTCTCTGTTCTATTATCCTCTCCTTAAAAAAAATATCTTACCTCCTCCATTTCAAAAGTTATCACAATAATGTTCGATCGACAGTGACCTACAATTTTTTTAAACGTGACATTCAAGACTATATTGAGGCCATTTATTTATTTGCAGTAGTATTTTCATCATGTTGTTTAATTAACCGTCTGAATAGGGGTGTCAAATGGGTGGATTGAGTTAAAATTGAAGATATTAAAATGGATTGAAATAGAAATTGGGTTGGGTTCTGACCCGTTCAAGTTTACTTTGGGCTCAAATGGGCTTAAAAGTGGATTGGTTCTTAACCCGCCCAATTTGACCCGTTTAATCTCAACAATTTAAATATATTGTTATTTAAGTTTTATAACCACAATTTGAATTTCAACTCAAGAATTTTTTTAAAAAGAGTTACAAATGAATAGATAAATCCTAAAAGATATAAAATAAGATAGTAATTCATACCTTCAATATTGAGCATACATTACACGAATGCAAATAACGAGTTTTAAAACGGGTTTAAATTGAATAAAGATTAAATTGAATGCAATTGAGGATTATCTTAAAATGGATTAAGGCTTGAATGAGATGAGACTGAACCCGATTCAAACCATCTTGAGCCCAACTCTTAAGATTCTAGATGGATTGAACGGATTACTTATAGTTGAATTCATTTTTGACACCTCTGAATATTATCTTACAATAACGAATTAATATATACTTACAATAATCTCTAAGGTTCAAATGCTAAATTCAACTACAAATCACCTATTGGGAACCTTGTTCATTAACTAAAATATCTACCAAAAGAACATTACGACTACTTAGCTTATAAAATAGGATTCCCTTGATATGATACTATAAATTAGACTTAATTAATTAAGCAATAAAAATTTGAACATAGGCTTCCACAACTCCAAATAATACTAAAAAAATGTGGAGTCCACGATACATGTGTACAATACTTTATTGCAGGAGAAACCTTTTTCATGGCCATATTTTAAAATATTAACAGTGACAATTTTCATTAAAAGATTATCTTCAAATAAAAAAAAAGAAAAAAAAAAGTAATTATTATTGTTGTAGCGAGTATCTTTTGTTGTTGTTATATTGATAAGATAGTTCACAATCACTATTCTAAATTCGCAACATATAAAGTATAAACCAATCCAAACGAACTCTGAATTTACGGTTATATAGTTGCCAATTGGGCCTGACAAGACTAGCCAATTGGGCCTAATAAACCAGCATCGCCATTTTTTCCATTTAGTTGTCAATTGGGCTTCACAAAACAGGACAACCTTATGGATCATGTTCTTTCTTTGGGCTGACTTATTAATTTGATCGTCCCAGTTGCCACCCTTACCTATAGAGCAGTCAAAATGAGCTGGCCCAATCCAACCCTAACGGGCTAGAGAGTTAAATGGGTTGGGACGGGGTGACCCTTTTAATTAAGAAAAAATTACAGAAATCCCACCTTTTAGTTTACTTATTATCATTATTTCCTATAAGTTTTACAAATTTCCAAAATCCCTCATTTTCGTGCATCAGATTAATGTATCAACGCTTATATTATTGTATCTCGCGCACCAGATTAGTGAATCATGTATAAAATGTACATCAGATTAGTGTATCATGTATAAATGTAATGTATCTTACTTAACGATTAATGTATCTTGCGCATCAAATTAATGTATCAGCGCTTATATTATTGTATCCGTTTGAGGGATTTCCGTAATTATAAACTTTTAAGGGATAGATTGTAATTTTGCCTTAAAAGTATGTGATTTCTGTAATTTGCCCTTTAATTAAAGAGCCTATAAAATAGCAGCCCAACTCAGCCCTAAGCGAGCCACGGGTTGGGGCGGGTTGGCCCCTTCAACCAAAAAATGAACAATATTACTCTCTTAGAAAGAGTATCTAAGAGTATCGAACGTTGATGTCTATGAACACGACATCAATACATATAAATTTTCATTTATGAATCACACACTTCGGTGAATACTTACAAAAATACATTTATGAATCACACACTTCGGTAAATACTTACAAAAATACATTATAGTCAACGTAAGATTTAGCGAAAAAATGTTGATCATTCCTCCCACAAAAAACTAGCTAGTTTAAAAGATTTGATTTTTATTTTTAAAAATATTTATTGATAAAAACTTTACAAATAAAACACTACTAAAAATATATATAAAAAATATTTTTAAATATTCATAGCCCACGGGCTGGCCTCTGAGGCTTGCGGGTTGGGCCTACGAGGCTAGCGGGCCAAATGAGGCTGGGCTAAAAAGCCTCGTTCCTAAATGGGCCAAAAAAATTAGGCCCAACCCCACTTAATTCAAGGATTGGTTGGGTCGGCCTAGCGGGTCAAACCTATTTTGACAACTCTACTTACCTATAGAGACAATTCTTTGCTTCCCCCTTATTTTTTTTCAAAAATAAAATACCACGTACTACTAAAACAATTAATGTATAATCAGTATATACTTCATGTATAATTAAGTTATATTCAACTTTTGTGTGTATCATAATATATACTTTTGATGACTTTTGACTATTCTTTATAGGGAAAATTGTATAAAATAGCAAATTATTAATTCAAATTAAATGCTATAACCACAATTTGATTTAATTGTACCCCGTAGCAAACTGTTGTCATTTCGCCTCTCTCCCTGAATTTCTCACTCGCCTCTCGTTTTTCGCTAGGCAGTCTCTCCTCGCCTCCCTCACTTTATACAAACACAAATGTATAAATTGTGTTTGTATAAAGCGAGAGAAAATTGTATATACAGGAAAATTGTATGAAATAACAAACTATTAATTCAAATTATATGCTATAGCCACAATTTATTTTAATTGTAATTCGCAGGAAACATCCTTTTTTTTGCTATTTTACTCAGTATACAATTAGTCATTTTATACAGTTCGGTATAAAATGTGTTTCTGTTTGTATAAAGCAAGAGAAAAGTCTATATACAAATACAAATACATATATTTTCGTCCTATACACTTATAATTATACAATACAAATATTCCCCTACCCAGATCTCTTTTCCTTTCTCTCTTTTCCGCTTTATACAAACACATATTATACAATTGATTCTTTTGTATATGTATACCAAAACATATTATACAATTGCTTTTTTTGTATATGTATAGCAAAATATACATATTAATAGCCATAGCAAAGTGCAATTATGCAAACTATAGCTATAACATACAAATATGATTTTTATGTTTGCTATATGTAAAAGTTGCTCTTTTTTGTATAGATAAAACATGATTATATTTATCGTAAATTAATCATTTTATTTGTATATATGTTTGAAATTATCCCTCTATATTCCAAACCTGACATTAAATGTAATAAAGAAGAGGTCTCCTTTATGCCTATCAACTCTAATTTATTTTTTTT